TAAACTGAAATTTTAGTAGTGTTGCTTTTCATTTTAGCTTTGGGATACATGTCATTTGGCTAACTTGTTGTCATGTTTAAAACTAGTCAGTTCATATCACTGCTTGTGCTTTTTACTCTGGAATTTCAATGTGGCTGTGTTCCCAGATCTCAACAGTTGCTCTCACTTGCTACACTTTAAGTAATTTCAAAGTTTTTACTCATTCTTGGTGCTTTTAACCATGTCATCTCAAGCACTGACTACCCACAAACAGCTTTCTAATCTTTTATCATCCTTACTTTTAGACACTTAATGACTGTGTATCATGGTTTTCACCCCCATACATTAACTCATTCTCAAGAAGAACAAGGAACCAGAACAATGTAATAATTGGAGACCAGAAAGTTTATTAAATAGATGTAAAACTTCTGGCAAAGATTTTGACATATTGGGAGATAAAGTCTTTTCTTAATTTACTCATCCAGCTGGGCCCTCAAATAGGTCTCTGTCCTCTCTCCTTTTGCTGCAGGGCACACTTGAGATCCTGTGTGATCTGAAGCTGCGTAGCCTTGTCCTGCTCATACTTCATGCGAGCCTTCTTCAATCAAACCAGTAGTTTGTGGTTTGAGTCCTCTTCCTGTGAGGCGACGGTGCTAACCACCGTGCCCAGGGTGTCCGCGGGGTTTTAAAAAGTATTAAAAAGTGATTAATCAAAATTGCCAAATTTAAGGCCATTAAAAAGTGTTTAATTTGGTTTAGAGGTATTATTTTTTAAAAATAGGTATTATTTTTTCAGACTATGGTGTCCTATTCTGATTGAAATTCTATCTGCTAAAATTTGCACTAGTTCGTTTAAATGTGGGCTTTAGCATATCGGGGCACATAATCAAAGATCCTCGTCTAGTCTCAACTTTGTATGTTTGATGCTGACGTCACATTCAGTGGTCGTTCGACATCTCAAATACTTTGCGCGCTCAGCTCAACTGGATAACCAACTGGCTAGCCTACATTGTTGACTAGTCCATCAACACCGCAAACTAGTGCCACAGTACAAGCCAACGTTTCGGCTTCAGGAACTACGTCTGACCTCCGGGTGACTATGGGCGCCACACCAACACTGCGTGCGGAGGCTCTGTGGTGTCTAAACACTGCAGTTAAACACCACTCAGTTAAACACCACTCATTAAACTCCAATGAAGGAATTGTGGAGCTGTTTAAAGAAATGTTTCCCGACTCTGACATCGCAAAGTCATTCACGTGTGGTAAAGACAAAACCGGGTACATCATCAGATTTGGATTAGCATCGTTCTTCAAAAAACAGCTTGTCGATGGCATCAACAAGGCTGGGCCTCAATCAGGCGTCAAAGAAAAAACAGCTTGACATCCATATTCGATACTGGGAGGATGGCCGTGTCCAGTCCAGATACTTTGGATTACAGTTTTTGGGACATGGAAGGGCCGACGATTTGTTGCATCACATCAAGGTAAGTTAATATTCTTTATGCTATATAGGCCTACCTAGGCGGTGTCCTGTGGTCACTCATTTCAA